TTTTGTTCAATGAGTCAAGCTCTGATTGAATCGCATTTTCCCATTTTGGCCAGTCATTTCTTTGTCTACATTCATGAATAAATTTTGGCTCTAGATCCTCATTTTCTTCCATTATATCAAGTGTTAAATTGTATACAGAGACATTATCAATAATTGTTTTGTTACGGTTCCAACATTTTCTTGAAGTAAGATAGTTAATTAAGTTTTCAATAATCTCATCATGTTCTTCAAAATCGTGCTCTTCTAGAGCAATTATTTCAGGGTTAATTTCTTCATTAGATTGAGGTTTATCAATGGCATTCATGATATATTCATGATTATCATCATTCATTCCTCTTTTCTTTCGAGGATATTTGTCTTTGAAACCGAGTGGTCTACCACGCTTTAAGCGTGTCGCTGATTCATTAGCACTTGTAGTTTGTCTATCAGGGACAATTTTTTTTGCCGGAGCATTAACAGCTTTGATATATGATCGAGTGACTTTGCTCGAGTCGTTGAAAGCATCCGATAACCGATTTGCAATATTTTGCAAATGTAGAATGCGTTGAACTTCTAGTTCACACTAGATTGTAAAATTCAATGGGATTTTCCAATTAATATCCATTTTCGGTTCATTTATATCTCCCCTAATGTCAGAAAATATGATTTGTCAAAATGACAATCTGCAAATCTTGTAGTAAATAAATCACAGAAGCAGGCTCTTGGCCGTCGAGGGAGCCGATCACCGGCATAGGTTCAAGATATTTTATAATTGACGGCGATTCATATCCAAAATAAATGTCCAATCTACGTTGACGAACCATTTTTGTACGTTTGGGGGTGGAATAGGAACATAAACAGCACACCAAAAAATACGTAAATAAGATATATTTGGTTCATGACCAAATACTAATTACATCGGGGAATAGCTATGATAGCTTGTCGGCCTTATTCTTATAAGTGTTCATGTATATAAGATTGCATGCCCCCAAGCTGAAATAGGTAGCATAGACCTCATCAGTAATTGTCTATAAATCAATTGCAATCTTTTAATAAGTGATTCTGCCATGCCATTTTGTGTATGAACATGAGCAACTAGGTGCTCTACATTAATTCCAATAGACATGCAATAATCATCAAATGCATTCGATAAATATTCACCAGCATTATCCAGACGTATAGTCTTAATTGGATTATCGGAGAATTGTGTCCGTAATTTAATAATTTGTGCAAGCAATCTCGCAAATGTCATATTGTGAGTAGATAATAAACAGACATGTGACAATCTGGTAGATGCATCAATAAAGACCATAAAATATTTAAATGGCCTACATTGTGGGTCTATTGGTCCACATATATCCCTGTGTATTTTTTTCTAAAAATGTATGTTATTCAATACTTGTTTTAGCTGGCGATGGTCTAGTTATCAATTTTCCCTAAGCGCAGGCAACATAGGTTAACTCATTTGAGTTTAACACTTTTTGACCTTTTAATGAATGACCATATGAATTTTCAATTATTTGCCTCATCGGTATACTACCAAGATGCCTAAGGCGATCATGTTATATTTGAAAATCGGTAGTCTTTTGATCTACCTTGAAGTGTGTTTCAACAACACCTAATCTGGCATAATATAGACCAAAGGAGAACGAGGGTAATCTCTCAATGATGCATTTCTTTTTATCAATGGTATTGGTAATCAATAAAAATTAAGCATCGGTATCACTCATAGTTTCAACGTGATAACCATTTTTCCGACTATCACAATTTTCGTCCCCGCAGGGAGAAATATAATGGCTTCTCCAGTGCCTTCAATTAATTTTGCACTGCCACTTCTTGTATTGACATTCATCATTTCCCTTTTCAAGTGGGAGAAATATTTTTCATGTTTTCAATATAGTATTTGTCGTTGCACTGTCAATGAAACTCATATTTGCATCATTTTGATTGGCATTCATTTAACCTTCAAATATAAATAAAAGCAGTATTAATAAAGAAAAATATAAATATTACAAAATGCATTACAAAAATGTAGTATGCGATAATTTAAATATTATAAAATATAAAATAGCATAATATAAAATGACATACTATGTCTGTCACTAGGTGTTTGCTGGATCTACGAAAAATCCGTTATATCAAGATGCGTTGTGTCGTAATCCAGAATATCATCATCAGGGTCGTCATCGTTATCAACGTGATTAGTCTCGACATCTTTCCCTTTTTTTCTATAATAAGGCTTGATAAAGATCGGGAAAGTGTTTGGTTTTTCTGCAGGTATTGGCCCAATGGCCTTCAATGCCACACCGATTATAAATGCCGATTTGCCTCTTTCCCTGTTTAGCCTTTTCGGCTATATCCCCATATTGGGGTTTAGTCTGTTTCCTATTAATGTCAAAACCACGGTGATTGTAAGGGGTATATCGACCGCGTTGATTCTCACGATCGCGACCACATCCACGATCTCTACTACGTCCTCGGCCTCGTTCAGAAAATGTCACATTCGCTTCAGGGAACGGACTGGAACCAGTGGGCCAGGACTGGTGATTTTTCATCAGTAAGTTATTATTTTGTTCAGCTAATAAAAGACATACAATGAGGCATGGGTACTTTTGAAAATTTTTCTCACGATACTGTTGTTGCAACACAACATTAGAAGCATGAAAGGTAGATATAGTTTTTTCCAATTTATCATTCTCAGTAACATTTTCTCCACAGAGTTTTAACTGATATGTAATCTGATGGATAGCAAAGGTGTACTCTGTAACAATTTTAAAATCCTGCAACCGTAGGTTAAAGCCAATCATGTCGGGCTTCTGGGAGAGTGATATATTTCAAGTGCTCAAATCTCTCCCTTGATTCATTTCACAAATCAAGTGGATCTTTCACCGTCAAATATTCGGATTGTAAATGAATGTCTAGATAATGACGAATTAAAATGATAGCCTTAGCCCGATCTTGGCTTGTAGTCACATTTTCACTAGCAATTATATGAACAAGGCCCATAGAAATCAGATGTATTTCAACATCCAAGGATCAAGTCAGAAAATTATTGCTAGTGAGAGACAAAATTTTAAAAGAAAATTTTGCAAGATTTTCCATAATTTAGAAAATAGATAATATAGATAGTATAAAAATAAAATTTACCAAAAATAAAATAGGCAAAAGTTTTCGTGTTGATAACGTGTTATGTATAATAATATAATATAATATTGGTAAATATATATAATACTCCCTACGTCCACTTACAATGTACACATTTACTTTTGGCGCGCTGTTTAAGAAATAATAGTATTTTAATTATAGTGGGTAGTTAAAAGTAATGTAGTGATATTTTTGTTCTTACTTTTTGGTGTAAAAATAATGATGTAATATAAAGTAAGGGTATTTGTAGAAAAAAGTGAAGTATTTAATGAAATATTTACTTTGTAATTGGATATACCAAAATTAAAATATATATACTTTTTAGCTGGACGGAAAGAGTATATAATGTATGTGTGTACGGGTGTGTTTATATTTATGTATATATATATATGAAGGTGTATATAATTATAGAGAGAGATAAAGATTGAAATAGAGAGATAGAGATACAGATTTGGAGAAAAAATGGTGTGAATTTTTATAGGTATTAAAACCTTGACTAAAAGGAAAAAGAAAAACAACATAGATGTCACTTAATCACTTAGTGTGTACTAAGGGTGTGTTCGTTTTGGCGACTCTCATGTTTTTTTCACTGTGCAGGTACTGTATATCTCATTTAATTCAAAATCCCTCAATTCTTTAGAATCCCAGTTTACAACCGTGTCTTTTCGAAAAGTGTCATGCACAATCCCCATCATTACTGAATATAAAAATAAAAAATAAAAAAAAATAAAAATTCAAAGGCATGTGCTTGTTTGGTGTTGGGATTTTTAGTTGGCTTGAAATAATAAAAATTTTGCATTAAAATAGTGGTATAATATAATATAAATGAGTTTTAATATAATATTTGGATATAAATTAATTTTTATCATAATATAAAAATAAATGTTTAATTTGATAATTAAAAAAAAATAAAATTAGATAAATAGTACATTTTTCTGCGAGAATTTGATAAAATAACACATCCTAAAAAATAAAAAAAGAAAAAATATTTTTCCAAAAATTAATTTTTAAACTTATTTTATAAATATCAAATCGCTTTTATTATTTATAATTTTTTAACAATATTCAAATATAATTTATTTCAAATTATCACATCAATATATTATTTTTTTAATAAAATAAAAATTACTTTCAACATAATAGTTACACTATTCAAACCTCCAAAAAAATACAACTTATAAATCCATACTTCAAGATCCTCAAAAATCAAAATCTAAAATCCAATCCCTCGAACAAATATCAAAACCTTCAAACAAACAAACCCTTAAAATAAAAATATAAAAAATAATAATATCTCCAAGAAAAACTTTTTAAAAAATATATTTAAAATATCAATTCCAAGACACTTTACTTTTTTATTTTTATTTATTTTAACAATATTTAAATATCATTCATTTCAACCTATAATATCAATACATCATTTTTTCTAACATAATCATTATAAAATTCAAACGTTCAAATAAAAACAACTTAAAAATTCATACTTGCAGACCTTCAAAAATTTAAATCTAAAACCCCCGAACAAACACACTCTAAGTACATATTTAACAAAATTGAAATAATATATGGGTGTGTTTGTTTGAAGGATTTTGGAGGATTTTCACTATTCATCCAATTTTTTCCCCCCAAAAATATCAAATCAAACACCTATTTTTCATTTTTTATATTATACTAAAAATCAATTTTACATTCAAAATATCACATCAAACCCTATTTATATCACATCATACAACTATTCAAATTCAAAATTTTTACTATTCAAATCCCAATCCAAAATCCAAACCCCCAAACAAACACACCCTTAATAGAAAGTCAATATAAACCTAATCTAAAAATTAATAAATAAATAAATACTACAACTAAGAATAGCGTGTGTACTTTTACTAGGAGCAGACGAGGTCAAAGTTCGAAGCAGATAGTGGCTGATGAACCAATTCGAACCACCGCATCTTCGATACTCAATCTACTCTTCCTCCATTACTTTCACCGCCACCGCCACCGCCCGCATTTGCTGCTGCAGCAATGTATGTTCCAGTCCATCTATAGAGCTCAAGATTTCTGGTGGATTCATTTGCATCGATTGACTCCGCTCCTTTCTGGTGACTCTTGTTTTCGCAATTTTATTTATATATTGTTTCGATTTCAGCTTATAAAGTTGAGTTCCAATGTTATGACTTGTTTTCGTCTGATCTGCTGTTTCTCCATGAAATATATGATCGCCAATTTGTTTATGGCTTATTTTGAGGATGTGATGCATTCCAAATATATGAATTTGGATGCTTAGTTTGAATCCATCATTTATACGAAATTTGAAGTTCCCCTCCATCCGGCCTTACCTTACTTAGCATGAGGGGTTTTTAGTTTGAATTGGTGTGTATTATTTTGCATTTTTATGAATTAATGATTGAGTGAATTTGATGGTATATAAAAGCTATGTGTCTATAGAAATGTATCTTCAAAGGATTGTGTGTTCCTAATGGCTGCAGATGATGGAAACTTGTAGAGATCTGTTTAACCTATCGTCCTTTATAACTAGTTTTATAAAAGGTGTGGTAGATGCATCACATCGAATCCTGAAGGATTTAGATAGTGTATTTGGCTTGAGTAGTTTGTGATATTCGGTAGAGTGATGCTGCATAACAGTGTTTCTGTATTTCGTAAACTATTACGAAGATGGCTAATCATGAAAGAATGTAGTTTTTGGTGAATAAGGCTGGTGTTTGTTGATCCTTAAAGATGCCTTGACAGATTTGATTTTCTGATTAGTTATTAGGCGAACTCATTATCGAATCAGTTTGTGTGTAGATACGTATATGATACGTGTGTATTGAGTGAGATATTTTCAAGGATTTTTTAGGGGAAGACTATATATTTTATTAGTTGATTGCTTGGTTCTCAGACATATGCAATAATGGATTGAGAATTCTATTTTCGGAAGTGTAATGTGCTGAAGAAACTATCGGTGCATTTTAATTAGTTAAGGTTTGAAAGATTTAGCTTTGATTGTACAAACAATGACCTTGTTTCTGATCTTTGAAAATCTCTGGAAAAGGATCTCACCTTCGAGTAAGAGTTGAACCCAACAAACACGTAGCAAGTAGAGCCTGAATAAGCCATGATGTCTAGAACAGTAAAGAACTTGTGTCAATGTCAATACGGGCTTGGAACCATTCGTATTAAACTTTGAGTTGAATGTGCTTATGAGTGACGAATAATAAAACTAGCTTTTGTAAATTTATCTGTCTTCCATTCGTTTACTCAGTCTCAGCAATGTCTTGGAAACTCTTTGTGGTGTTGTTGGTTGGATTTCTCGCGTGGGCTCACCATGCCTTTTGCCCTCCAAAAACCCGCATTTGTGGCTCCACCGGAGGTCCACCCATCAAAGGGCCCCGAATCAAACTTAGAGACGGAAGACATTTGGCTTACGAGGAGCATGGAGTCCCCAAAGAGAGGGCCAAATACAAAATCATCTTGGTGCACGGCTTTGGCTTAAGTAAACACGAGGCTTCTATTGCTAATACGGTACCTCAGTAACCGGACACTTAAATCTGTAGATCTCCACTTCTTGCATTTACAAATGCAATTATAAAAATCTCCAGGAACTGTCTGAGCAACTGGACATACACTTTGTGTCCTTCGACAGACCAGGTTATGGTGAGAGTGATCCTGACCCAAAGAGGACAATCAAAAGCACAGCACTCGACATAGAAGAACTCGGCAATCAATTAGGACTTGGCGACAAGTTTTACATTATTGGAAATTCTATGGGGGGGCAGGTTGTCTGGGGTTGCCTCAAGCATATCCCCCACCGGTATGAATTTCTGTTTCACACTTTAGTTGATGTATTCTTGATAAATGATCAAAGCTAATAAGGAAATGCATCATTACAATTTTTTTACGACAATATATGGCAGGCTGGCAGGAGCGGCATTGATAGCACCAGTCGTCAATTACTGGTGGCTTAGTTTCCCACCCGATCTGTGGAGCCAAGCTTATCATCTGCAACTTCCACAGGATCAGTGGGCGCTACGAGTTGCTCACCATGCTCCATGGCTCGTTTATTGGTGGAACACCCAGAAATGGTTTCCTTGCTCGAGCGTTGTGGGAGGAAGGCCTAATTTTACTGCACCAGATCTCAAAATTATCTCAAGCTTTGGTGGAAGATCTTTGCACCGGGTACTATTTTTTCTTATGTCGTTTTAAGAATGAGTTGAGGTCATTACATAGGCGGTTGTTACTGTGCTGAACTTTTTAATTCAGCATAGTACTATATAAGAATAAACAGCAAATGCAACATAAGATAATCATTCACATAGCACATACTACTCTTGATTTTAGTGTTTAAAATATGTCAATACAATACACTCTATAAATATAATTCAGCACATAAAATATGTCTATACAACATACCCTATAAATAAAATTGTCTAACACATGGTATCACCAAACACAGTATGTACAATATTAATTTGAAATTATATGTTATCTGTTTATTTACATAAAATTACTCGTAACTTTCCTGTAGTTTCAAAATTTAATGTAAAATTTTCCTATACTTTAAAAATTGCATAGCACCTCTTTATACTTTAAAATTTTTAAAGTAAAATGGTAGAGGGATTTCATGCAACAATTTTTAAAGTATAAGAGGGAATGAGGATTTACGCTATATTTCGAAATTACAAGGGAGTGATGGCAATTTTGCCGCTTATTTATAATGAGCAATGAGCTGACCGGCGAAATCTATTATCCCAATCTCTACAGTAATCTCTCCCCATTGCTCGTAATCGTACATTTATGTTTGAACACGTTCTTCTCGACAGGAATACGCTATGCAGCAAGGAGTGTACGAGTCATTACACCGTGACATGATGGTTGGATTCGGGCAATGGGATTTCGACCCTATGAAGGATCTCGATGACCCGTTTCAGGATGGCAGAGGTTCTGTTCATGTGTGGCAAGGGGATGAAGATGGGTTGGTGCCTGTAACTTTGCAGCGCTACATTGCTGAGAAGCTTCCATGGATTCGATACCATGAGGTACCTAATGCTGGCCATTTATTTGCAGTTGCTGATATTAACTCCAGAAAAGCAATTTTGGAGGAGCTATTATTGGTAGGGAAATAATTAGGATATATTCTCTTTCTCTTGTATTGTTTGTTTAAATTATCTCTTGTAAAATTCACGATTTATTGTTCCAAAATATTTGTAGAAAATTATTGTACTAATTTTATATACTTAAGCATGTGTGTGTCACAATTGAATTGAATTGAATGCTTGGCGGGAATTGATTTCTAAATTGTTTTATTATGTATTTGCAACTAATTAGTTTTGGGATGGATGGTAAGCTGAATTTTGAATTTAATCTTACTTTTATTAGCATGATTGAAGGATCCGATTTCAAACTTTCTAAACGGAAACTACCAAATCTTTCTATAACTGGATAAGGGTGGCTTATTGATGTGACCATCACGACGGAATCGGATCCAATCATGATTTCTCCCAAACCAATCACGGGGAGTTGAACCTGTAAATTTCAATTGGCAATTACAAAGTGTGTCAAATTTCAAATGGATGTCATTATTGAACTCATGAAGGAATTCCATAGATCAATGGATTACCAATAATCTTGGGATTGTCATGAATTATGGATCAATAATACTAAATAAGGTTGATTATAATAAATATCTCATATATGATTTTATTTCCTTTAAGAGCGTACTTTCTTGTTTTAATTTTCCATGGCTCCTCTATAAAGGTCTCATGATTATCATTGTAAAGATTATTCATTCAACAAAGATATTTTATAAACTGATTTTTATTTCAAGGGCGATTCTTGTGCTTTTTTTGAAGTGTAATCTTGAGTGATTCGGTTACATCTTTATATTCCAAAATTGAGTTGTTTCGAGTGATTTAAATCAAGTCGTTGTCTCTCGAATAGTACTGGAACTATTCTTGTCTTAGCTTGTATTGTCAGTTTGTTTAGAGAATTGTGAGAGTTGCCTTCCCGACTACCTCTCAATTCAAGAGAGTCCAGTTTATCCCCATTAATATAGATATATCTATTCAGCCATCCCTTGTTCTATCCAAATCTTTCCAATATTGTTATTATATATTCTTTTGGAATTCGATCCAAATTGTCATCCTTGGTAAGTTCGCGTCATTTTGTTCTTGTTAGTCGAAAATATTATTGAAACTCGAGATGCTCAATTCGAAATCATATAACATATTTGATTAACAACATATTCGAGTTTCTCGCTGCACGTGATCTCCTTGGAGCAAATTTGTCTCACCATCGGTTGTTTTCCAGGATAAAACGAATCAATTACGGATTGACGATCCCACTACGAACCGAAGAGAGAAAAATTTTAGGAAGTTTTTGGAGGAAATTGGAAAGGAAGAAAAAAAACGTAGATTGTTTGGCTATGTTATTTAATTTAAGAAGCGGAGGATTGAAAATATCACATGGCTCCTAAAACCATAACCCTATCCACATGTTCCAATGTTTATTGCAACAATTTTGCTTTATCCGATTAAATTTGAAACTGTCAAAATAAATTAATCAGATAAAGTAAAATTTAAAATTAATTGGATTTTTTCTGCGATTGGGCCCGACGCACAAGCCCCAAGGCCCAAGGCACAATCTTGACTCTATATATATGCCCAATCTCAAGCTTAAATCAAAGCCCAAGCCCAATTCAATATCATATCCAATCCAATCTCAATTGAACATTAAATGAGACTAAGTACATATAAGGAGGTGGTGATTTGTTTATTCTTCCTATGTGAGACAAGACCAATATTTTACTCTTCTCCTCTTTCACATACCAACAATTCCTCACATGAAAGAGGAAATGAGATGAAAAAAGAGCGAATTCTGCACAGGATAAGTAGGTTTTCCTTTGAACTTTCCTTGAGCAGTACGTAGGTTTACCTATTGTCCAGTGGACACATTGTCCTTGAATTGTTCAATTTCTTAGTAAATAAACTACATACCGACACAAAATCCACATTCCTAATTCGGTTCTCATTATTTGATCCATTTTGGCCATGGAACCTGTTCTGGTTTTGCAAAAATTTCTAAATAACTGAGTCTATAAAGTTCTCCTTTGAAGTGGCCCCACTTCTCTCTCACATAGGTAATCTCTCTAAGTTTTCCAAGTGACATGACACTTCACTTAGTGATCATTAAGGCAGTTATCTACTGTCTTCCTTACTCTATCACTGTTTGTTGACATGAATGGGATCTTCAATATTTCTAGATTAGGCTTTCCTTTATAAGACTTATATTTCAGCAGGCTTAACCCCCACTCCTCTAGTCAATTTCTACACTGCATCACGATTTAACCCTTTGGTTAGCGGATCCGCTAGTTATCTTTTGACGCAACATGGTCTATCGAAAAAACCTTAGTTGTGATCAGTTGCCTTACGGAATTATGTCGACGACGAATGTGTCGACTCTTTCCATTGTACATTGTACTCTCCGCTCTGCCAATAGCAGATTTAATATTGCAGTAAAGAGTTATGGTATAGACAGGTTTGTCCCACTCTTGAATGTCCTCGAGAATGTGGCAAATCCATTCCGCCTCTTCTCCAGCTTTATCCAATGTAATGAACTTAGATTCCATAGTGGATTTGGAAATAATTGTTTGTTTTGAGGATTTCCAAGAGATTGTTAGATTGTTGCACCCGCTAATGTAAACAAATATCCACTAGTTGATCTTTAATTGAGAGTATCAAATATCCACTTTGCGTCTGAATAGCCTTCTTCTTATAGCAAGCTATGTTCGGGTCTAGTGCAGCTCATCAGGTACATCAAACTTCCAATTATTTGAGCTTTTTCGATTTGGGATACACCCTCTCCACGATTCTTGGATAAATAAATACTTGTGTCGGGTGGATTTCTCGCTATTCATGTATCATCCATATTGAATTTTTCGAGGATTTTCTCTACATAATGAATTTTACTCAAAATTAGACCATTTTAAGTTCTGTTGATCTTAATTTCTAAGATCACATCAGCGAGACTCATGTCCTTCATGTCAAATCTAGAATTTAACATGTCTTTGGTAGACTTAACGATATATTCATTGCTACCAACGATAAGTATGTCGTCTACGTAAAGGAATATTATCACATAACCTGACTCGGTGGTTTTTACGTATATATATTTATCACATTCATTGATTCTGAAACCACTATCTCTTGTGGTATGATCAAATTTCTCATGTCATTTCTTTGGAGCTTGTTTAAGTCCATACAATGATTTCACAAGTCTACAGACTTTATTTTCCTTTCCTGAGCTGTAAAGCCTTCCGGTTGTTCTATGTAGATCTCTTCATCAACATCTCCATTTAAGAAGGATGTTTTTACATCCATTTGATGTACCTCAAGATTCCGCAGAGCGGCTATCGCAAGGATCATTCTAATGGATGTCATCCTTGTGACAGGAGAATTTATGTCAAAGTAATCTAGGCCTTTTCGTTGTATGTAGCCTTTTATTACAAGTCTAGCCTTGTATTTGTCTATTGTACCATCTGGTTTTGATTTTCTCTTGAATACCCACTTTGATCCAAGAGGTTTCGAACCAGGTGGATGACCCACAAGTTTCCAAGTGTGATTCTGAAGAATATAATCAATTTTACTTTTTACGGCTTCTTTCCAGAGAGCCGCTTCAACAGGTCTCATCGCATCAACATATGTTTAAGGCTCGTTTTCAAGGAGATAGGTAAAATATTCATTTCCAAATGACTTTTCAACTCGTGCTCGTTTGCTTCTTCTGAGCTCAGGTTTTTAACCTGGTTTAGATTCAAATTCATACATTTCTATTCGATTTCGGTCCACAGTTTCGTACTCTCGGCTGGCCGAACTAGGTTTAGTGTCTGCCTTTGTAGGGAACACATTTTCAAAGAATAATGTATTCTTTGATTCTATTATCGAATGCTTTGGGATATCCGAAATTTTAGAATCGAATATCAAGAATCGATAGACAGTAATGTTATGTGCATATCCTATAAAAATGCAGTCCATTGTCTTGTGACCGATTCTCACACGTTTGGGAGGTGGCACCACTACCTTAGCTAGACACCCCCACACTCGAAGGTGTTTGTAAGATGGTTTTTTACCTTTCCAAAGCTCATAAAGGGTATTGGACATTGGTCAGCGTCATAACTACCTTAGCCTTCGTCATCGCTGGCACGTAAAGGACATTGGTCAGCGTCATAACTCTTCCAGACGTCATCTTCAGAAGCATATTTCATCTTCCCTTGACTTCAGTAGGAGCAACATTCCCCATGTACATCATTTCTCCTTCGACACGCTCGAATGAGGAGAACTGATTCCTGTTCATGCAAATATGGTGTGTTGCTCCCATGTCGAGCCACCAATATTTCTTGTTTGATCCCACTAGATTTGCCTAAGAGACAACGAACGTCAGGTCGAGTAGTTATTCATCTTTAGTAACGATGTGTGCTTGATTCGTCTCTTTTTTCCTTTTCGGCACTTTGCAGTCTATCGAACGGTGTCCAACCTTTCCGTAATTAAAACAGTTACCTTTGAAGGCACTTTTTGCCTTTTCAAGGCCGCCAAATGGCTTCAGCTTCTCATTTCCCTTGTCCGTTGGTCGTCGCCACTTGGAAAGCTTCACTCAGCTCCATCCCCTTGGGCTGGATCTCATGCAAAATCAGCTAAAACGCATCAAGCTGTTTCGTAACGTTTTTTCCATCGACCATTTTGAAATACAGAAACCGTCCGATGATAAATTTCTTTGCACCAACATCCTCGGTTATGTATTTTTTCTCCAGCGTCTCCCACAGTTGCTTAGCCGTTAGCGCAGCCGGTAGACACCGTACGGGAAGTCGCTCAAGCCGGTCAGTACATAATATTTGCACATAAAGTTTGAAGGGTTCCAGGCTTTCAGAATTTGTGCATTCTATTCTTCCGAGAATCCTTCAGACACAATAGGTGCATCTTCCAACAACCAATCTGCCAGATTCAGTGTGGTTAGATAAAACAACATCTTATTCTATGTTTTAAAATTCTACCCGTTGAATTTTCTGGCTTATCGGTTGTCGCAGCAATAGGCTGCCTAAAAGTTGCAGCAACAGGCTGCATTATATGGTCCGTATCAGAAATAGGTTGTATACCCTCTAACTCGTCTAGTTGTTGTCCAGCAGACGCAACGAGACCCTGCACAAGTCCTACAACCATACGTTGCGGACGAGGCAGAACAGCAGCAGGCTGTTTCAGTCGAACATCAACAGGATGCCG